GGATTCTACCCTTAGTCCCAATTCAAATTGGAAAAAATGAAAAGGTTTTTCTTGGTGAACTTAATTGCTATGCAGGGGATTGTGGGGGTGTTAATTGTTCCTTGCCCAGTTGTAATTCCCCCTTGAAAACTGGTACCTAAGAGGAAACTGAATTGAGAAAACATTAGGTTCAATAGCAAATAGATCCACACCCTGAGGAAATATATTATGGCTAGGCACCCAGGAATATCAGTGCCCCTGTGTCCTGCCAGCAAGCTGATCATTCATCATTCTTGGGATGTATGAGCTGTAAAAACCACTTGGTGTGCATTTTGTGGATTTTAGGTTACTTTTGCTTGGGTAGATTGATAGATTCAGAATTTGTGTAGGTGCATTTGTGCATGTTCGCAAAAATTTACATCATGTGCCTTCACACATTGGGGGATTTGCATACTGTTGGTAATTTTTTTAGTTTGCATAATTTCAACATTTGCATGAAAACAGGTTAAAAAACTGTTGCGTAAGCCCCACAGATTCCACATGACCTGAGAAAGTTAGTCTACTGCAGAATCTGCTGGACAGACTCTACAAAATCTGGGCATGTGAGTCCATTGCAGATTTTTCAGACACCCTTAGATCATGAATGCTAGAGGTATGAATGGATTTATGCAGTGGGCTTTTGAAATTTGGTCAAGGGTTGCAGGATACCTACCTTTCCTCTTTATTTAGGCAGCCTCTGCTCTCTGGGCCTTCTGGTGTGGAAGGCAAAGTTCCTCTCCCTGCATGAGGAGAGAGACTTTAGGCTTGCCAGAATGACTTTTTTCGCTGGAATGCCATGGTTGACAGAGCAGAACCAGGTGCAGAACAGGAACTTGGGGAAGCTGCCATAGGACTGACATGAAGAGCTTCTGAGCACATACGCAGCCCAGGAATCCACTTCCATCACCAGGGCCAACGTTTCCACACAAAACAAAAAACAAAATGACTCCAAGGTGACTTTCCTTAGGGTCTCCTTAGTATGCCTGCCAAGTTTTCAGGTGTCTCAATTTCATTCTTGGTGCTAGGAGATTGACAGATCACCAGGCACATAACCTCACAACAATATAACTACTGAGCAAAGATAATTGCTGTGTATTTCTGTGCATATTATACATACATCTGAACTTTGACGAAAATGTCACAATCTGCATGTCCTGCACTTCATTTTGCTCCCATTCATTACTCCCCCTCCCACCCAAGTCCAGGTCTTTGTATAATCTTTTTAATCATTTCTGTTTTTACCTTCTGAGGATAACACTTCTGATGACGTGAGGCCTAGTCTACAAATGCTTATGCCACAATAAATCTGTTAGCCCTGGAGATGCTAGATAATTAATGTAGCCAATCTGTTGTTATCAGCCATGCATGGTTGCTTTGCTTACTTCAAGTTTAATATAGAATAGCCAGGGTAAAACAAATTATTGCCATTTGGCCCGAGTGTCCTGCTCTCCTTACTTGTGTGTAGCTATATGTCTCCGGCTAACGATGCAGAAATAGGTTATACATCCAGACCGAGGGTGCAATCCTATGACCTCCCAGTGCTCAAACTCCAGTGGCCAAGACCCCCCCACCCCACCGCCCCTTTTCAGCAGGCACAGAAAGAACCTTGCCAGCTGCCCCTCTGTGTGCAGAAATGAGTCTTGGAGTGGGGAGAAAAGGGCATGCCGGGGGGTTATGGGGCACCGGCAGCTGGGGCTGCCTCCCTATACCGGTTCCTATCAGTGGCCTCCTTCCCTCCCCCTTCCGTGCTTTCTCTGGACAACTGAGAGCAACCACCTAGATCAAATGCGTGGGAGGAGGTGCAGCAGTTGCAGGTGTTTGTGGCTGCTGGGCCTTGCTCTGGCCCTTGAATGCACCAGAGCCTTGGAGCTTGGAGGCTTGCGTGCCTCTAGGACAGGAGTGGTAGAACTGCTCCCCAAGTTTCTTATATTCAAGATTGCACTGAAAACAACGGGACACCGATTTGAATCCCAGTGACTTCAATGGTAAGTAAATGCAATTAACTGTTTCCTCAAAATACAGCTGCCAGGACTGGTAACGGGGACATAGCTTGGTGGTGTTCAAAGGGCGTCACAGGCTTTGGGTCTGTTTCTGAGCAAAATTCAAATCCTTGGTGCTTCAAAGCCCCATATGAGTTAGGATGCAGGTACCTGAAAGAAGGCCTGCTATCGTACCAAGCAAACCATGCTTTAAAGTCGTCTTCAACAGCTCTCCTCTATCTGAAGCAAGGCAGGTGGCAGTCAGAAGTGGCCTTCTCAGTGGTAGCACACCATTTGTGGAATTCTTTCTCCGGAGGCCTGCATGCCTCATTATCCCTTTGGCATCAGGCAAAGACATGGTAATCCACCCCTTTTTTGTTCATTTTGTGTTTGCAAACCACCCAGAAACCTCTGCCAAAGTGTACTATAGTCATTGATTTAATGTTGACCACCGCCAAATAAACCAAGTTCTCTGGGAGGTATACATTACAAACATAAACAATAAAATAATGAATAAAGCAGCAGATACCAAACTAAGATAAAACCAGCAGCAAAGAGTAAAAACACTAAAACACATGAAATAGTAATAAAAGTGCAATGATTGAAAAGCACTAAAAACCTAAAAAAGGAAACAACTCTAAATATTTAAATAATAAAGAAGCAAACACATTTCTTCATCAAAGGAGCTCCACAACCCAAAGAACAGCACACCTGTGTTTATATTTCTCTTTTATAAACTTCTTTTGAAATGTTGGGAATGATCAATCTGTCTGGCTGCCTTTTTGTTTCTATGCATGTTCAAACTCAAAAGTTACTATCATGACTCTTATTAAAGAGGTTATCTTGTAATGTTTGTTTTGCCCTATCTTAAGGTAATGTTTGTTCCCAAGATAAGAGCAAAGATTTGAATATTTGGGAGGGTAGGGAGAGGCAGCATGAGCTTTGTGTGCATGTTGTGGCTTTCGCAGCTTCCCCTTTGTTTCACCCTACCTTGAAGGTAACAAGTTTTAGTAGCAAGGTACATGATATTCATTTGGCTTACCACTCATCTCACCCTTGACCCCGCTACCAAAAGGGAATTCCTACAGTCTGTGGCTGCTCAAGTATCATGAGAATATTGACTTTTCTGATTTTACGTAGAAGTTGGCATTGGATACAAGTGTCAGCTCATTTTTAAAGAGCAGTAATTAAGGCTGTAGTCCTCATGGTTGGAGATCCATCTTCTAAGTGCAGAAGGCAATAATGGGCTGCAGATTCCAGTATTAATAGAGAAAACATCTTTGCCCTCTATGGTTGTTTTGTCTTTCATGGTCTACAGTCATTTTATTCCGTCTGCACCAAACTGCTGCCCTTCCCCAAAACAGTAAATTCATATTCTAAAAATAATAATATAAGAGCTGGTTCAAATTAAAACTTCCTGACTGAGGAATTCCATGCAAAATTGAATTGGTTTCTATTAAAGTATTTTGAGCTTAGGAGCTTGATTTCTCTCAGAATCACTCCCTGGCTAAAATTTTAGGGGTATTTCTTTTCCATTTACTTTGGCAACAGTTATACATTATGCCGTCCAAATAAAGGATTTGTAAATCGAATTTACTATCTGGTGGGGGAAAACCAGTGGCTTCATGCATGCAGACGCAATTCGTTTGGTTAGAAGTGGTGCTTAAGTGCCTCCTGGTGGCCAGCATTACAGACATGAGACGGAAATCCCCACTAGGCAGCCAAGGCTGGGATTCCCCCACCCATTGCCAGCTGAGAAGTTCCAGGACAGGAAAGGGTAATTCTGGGCTTGAGGCAGTTTTAAAAGAGGAAGAGCATCCAGACCATTTGTCTTCGAACAGGTACCCTCCAGATATGCTGGAATGCAGAAGCCATGGGGTTAACTGGAATTACAGTTCAAGACATCTGTAGGTTAGACTGGCAATTAAGCTCAAAGGCAGCTCCAATAAGAGATCAGCCCTGTAAAGCAGCTTTTACTGAGAATTTAAAAATCCCCGATCCCACTTCATTTCCTTTTACCTGTCTTTCATCTGGGTAAGTTAACACTATTCTGTCCTCACTACAACCCTGCAAGGTAGGTTAGTCCAAGAGATGGCAGCAGGACAGTGCATTATTTCAAGGATGAATGAGAATCTGAAGCTGGATCTCCCTGGTCAAATGCTCTCGTCACTACTATGTGGACATGTCTCCTCTTCACACCAAAACAGTTCTTACAGCTCTTCATTCCTTTGTACCGGACAGCTCCCCCAGCCCCACCACACCCACCCACGCACACAAATACCAATGCATGATTCAGCTGGTCCTAAACAGCCAACAGCCTGGCTTCACATGGTCTGCAATAGCCCTTATAGTCGACAGAGCAAAGCCTTCAAGCGGACTGATGCCACCGTCAGGGGCTTGACACAAGCCGTCACTGGCATGCCTGAGGCATGGCCCCTGCCAGGGTGGCCCCCTGAAGGAGCGATCTATCAGGGCTGGGTGCCCCAGAGCCCTGGATCAGGGAGCGGGCATATAACAACCCCCCCCCCCCCCCGGCCTTCTGATCCCCTCTGGCTTTGAAACACAAAGACTGTGATTAGAGAAGTCTGCCTCCAGTAGCAGAGGATATTACTGCAGGCTTTAATCACACTGACACATCTCAATTAATTCAAATTATTTAATTGTAGTTAACGTTGCTTCAGAATGAACTAACCTCAAGCTCATCTCTAGAGTGTGCTTAGCATGCATGTCAAGCTTCAGGGGTCCTTTTCTTATTTGTATCTCATTTCTTTTTTGTGAAAAATTTAAAAAATGTTTTTGAAAGCCTCAGGGGTCCAAGATTTCATGTTCTTGGAGCTATGGGACTCATCGACACCCTTCCTTTGATTATCGCAGCGATTATTCTGTAGCTTTCTCTTGATTTGTGCCCTTTCTCCTGAATTGTGTCCTTGCCACATTCCCAGTACCTGTCGGTAGTATCACCAAATGGTCAGTCCTTTCCATTCACACACACCAGGCCAGACATTGGTTTGTAATGACTGAGTTTATTTTCCTGGGCATCCACCCCACACACCAGGCATACGGCAACCCCTTCCCCACTTTTCCACTGCAAAACTCTCCCCCTGCCCTTCCTAGTGGGGCACGTGGGTGGGGGGGAGGTGCCAAAGCAGAATGCCACGTTGGCATGGCTGTTCATTCTCCAGGAACAGGGGTGATCAGTCTTTGGAGAGCAGTCCCTTTGCATCTTCCCCCTTGTCCCCTCACCAAAAAAGAACAACTGTAACCAACTCCATCTCCCAGTCCCCAAAACCAGAAATGGGGAGGCAAGGATGGGAGGAAATACAGGTAGATGGGAAGGAAAAAGTGCTTAGTAAGCCCCTCTTGACACAGTTCCTCCGACAGGATCACAGACTATCCACTGCAAGTCTTATGCCAAGATCCTGGAGTCCCTAGCAAGGAACCAAGTCTGTCAGGGTCTGGAGATAGAGAGGGGTGTGTGTGTGAGAGAGACAGAGAGAGAGACAGAGAGAGATTGAGAGAAAGAGAAAGGACCTGTGTCCTCTCCTCACCACAAATGTCCTGTCCCCAAATGTCTACTCATGTACATCCCAGATCTCAGAGAGGAGCGGTGGCAGTTTCTTGTCTTGGAGACGCAAAGCAAAGACCTGCTCCGAGTGCACGCTGCTCAAAGTTCGCAGGCTCACCAGCTTCATCAACATGCGTGGGAACATCAGGTGGTCCTGGAGAATGAAGGTGAGGAGAGACAGTGCCTTGAGTTTAAATCAGGGACAGGCAGCTTGCGGTCCTGCATCATCTCAAACCAGGGGCCATGCTGACTAGACCTGGCAGGAGTTGGCAACATCAACAAGGGGTGCAGAGGAACCGTTCCTTCTAATAACAAACTTGGGCGACAGACTGCAGTTTAGTTTGGAAGCAGAACAGAACCATCCAGAATTAAGGTGGTCATTTTAATGTGCTTGGGGGAGTTCCTAGGCATGCAGAAGGATATAAAATCAATTCGCATAGCCCCCATCCCCACAAACTCATCTGACAAAAATCTGTGAATCTTCTAGATGCAGAAGTGACTGTGAAAGGAAAAAGAAAACTGAAGCTCAGGGGAGGGCTGCTAGGTAGAAGAGAGGGGGAAAGAAAATGAAAACCCTTCTCTGCCTGTGGCTTGAGAGGGGTTTTCTCCACACAGTCCTATGGCTTTTGGGGTGCCATCTAGGGTCCATAGGACTGAAGTCAGATTCAGTTGCCAGTCTGGCTAACTTTTATACATGGAGTGAGAAGAGGCATACTGCCCTTTGCCTTGGATAGCCAAATGTCTTGGACTGGGAGAATCTGTAGTCGCCCAGATGTTAAAGGACCCTATTTCCAGTCCAATCCACCTGACCTGGCTAGCAGTGAGGGATGAAAAGTGCTGAGTCCATCATCCTCTGGAAAGCCTTAGGGTTTGGGATTCTGTCTGACAATCAGTGGAGGGACCCTGGACTGAGATTTCCTGAAGCCAAATGCAGCTTTGCGACCTCACAGCAAAGTTGGCCAGGCATCGAGTACTTCATCTGGGGTCATAAACCCACAGAAATATCACTCTTTATCCCTCTCCACCCCACCAAATACAGTTGTGAGTCTTGTTCGACTTGGTCCCTGCTTCTCTGCCTCATGCATTTCATGGATCCTAGGAGGGCCAGTCTCTCTCTGACTCCAGCTACAAAAGCTGCTGCCCTTTATTCTGCTCTTTAGATTTGTTTATTCTTCCTAAATATAACTATTTTCAGGTCATTTAATCTAGTGCAATCTTGGCAGTGGCTCTGTGGGGTTCAAGGCAGAATTCCTTCCCTAGGAGATGCTAGGGAATGAAACCAGGATCTTCTGCATGGAAAGCAAGGGCTATACCACTGAACTATAGCCCGTTCTGCAGTGATTCCACACCCATCCACCCTCAGCATCTGGTGCTGTCCCTGTGCCCAGTGCAGAAACCTGTGGGCGGTGGAGGCGGATGTAAGAACTGAGCGCCTCAATGTAGGGTTGCTGCAGTGCCTCGACCAGGCCGTGGTCCTGCACATTAGGTCGGTCTGCTGAGAAGATATTGATCGCGATGAGGAGGGCGTACTCGGCGTCATCAAGCTGTAGCTGTCGCATGGCCCGGGAGAATTCAAAGATGGGGTTGATGAACTCTACCTGTAGGCCTGGTATGGGAGGTGGGGAATGAAAGCAGAGCCTCTGACAAAAAGAGCGGGTGCATCGCATTACAGCATTAAGAGGCACAAAACTGTGCACCTTTCCAATGTGAAAACAGAGGAGGGTCACTTGCGACCCTCACAATGTTCAGCCTACAGTTTCCACCATCCATCACCGAAACCCCAAGATCCGCCGATCCAAACCCGATTGCATGACACAGTGTAGTTCATTGTGTGTTGCTCAATCCACAATAATTAAATGCCCACAGATGCCATTTACATTATCCGACCCTTGCTGGGGAGGTGTGTCCAGGTTATGCAAGGGTTAAACAATCCTTATGTGACTCATGGTCTAATCTAGGGCTATGCAAGGGTTGTTAAACTCCATAGTTCACAGACCCTAACATGACACGACAAGCACCAAATGGGGGCTTGATATGCCAAAAAGTGACAGTGCATGTGACCTGGACATGCGGCGGGCTCACCCTGGGTTAGAGATCTCACAGTGGGCTGTCATGTCATGCGAGCTGCCCAGTCGCTTCAAATTAAATCAATTCTGAGGCCAGGGATTTGTTTTAAGCACCACAGTCCTCCACACAGAAATCCATTCCTCTTGACCTCTCCCTGCTCTATGCTTTCTTAATTTCAGTAGCACAGCTTAGGGAGGGGATAATTTTATTGCTTCTACTGTTAACCAAAAGCGAGTCACAAATCCTTGCTGATCTCCCAGATCTACCTTCTGACTTCATATATTCTGTGCTCAAGGCATGCAGGCTTTAAAGGTCAGTCATCAGTACAATGCAGCAAACTCTTACAAGAAAGAGACTTCTGAGCAGACATAAAAATGACTGGAAACTGGGGGATCCTGTTTTTAGGTGGTGTAAAGGTTTGTGCTGGCAGGAAAGAAGCTCTCCAGCACACTGCAGTGTGCAACAACTGCACATTAACAGAAGCAGGAAGGCAAAGGCCGATTCAAGACTGGGGGTGCCCAAGGCAAACAGCACCCTCTTTCGTCCCCAGATGCAAGACCAGGCATGTGGAAGAACGCAAAGCAGGATGCCATATTGCTCACTGATTCCATCTAGCTAGATGCAGAGGGACAGTGAGAAGTTAATGTAAACTCTCGCCAAATATGAAAACCCGGCAATCTTTACAATGCCCTTTTCACTTGACGTGTGAAGAGATGGTTGCTGATGCATGAACAAGCAAGTGATGTGAACCACCCACCGGGCAGGCTTAAACTCAGCCCTAGTTTCTCGGTCCCCCATGGCATGTAGATGTGTCATCTTGAATATATATTAGCAATCCTCAGAAACATTAATTCTGTTGTTAAAAGTATTAAAAATCTCCATCCACCAACCCTTTAATTTTCAGAGCAGCAGCGAGTATTTTAGTCCGCCCCCGCCCACATGACTACAGTATCTCTAGTCAAGGGACCATTTCTGCAGAACCTCAAGTCAGAGGCCAAAACCAGCCCTCCAAGAATCTGCAGGTTGCATCAACCTTCTTCTGCCCCACTTCCTTTTTTGCCACTGCTGGTTGTTGGTGGCTTCCTGCCGCTTGTGCAGGTTTGCCTTCTATTCTAAAAGCTACTAGCAGTAAGATTCTCAAGTCAAATATTGCAGTTTTTCGAATGCTGGGCCTTGCCTCTTTTGACTTTGGCAAAACGACTGCAATGAGTCCCCCACAAGCTTCTTCAAAATGATATCTGGCTCTGAGATGGGAGCAACACCCCTGCCGTACTTAGCAAAAGTCTGATCAAGCTTCACTAATCGCACAGCAAAAGCGGTGTGATGTGGAGAAGATTATTTTGCCTGGGGAGCTGCAATGCTGTTCAAACATGCTGGGCACTGTGTGGTCTTGTCATTTCTATGGCTGGTGAGAGAGCCAGGAGGTTCTGTGTCTTGGCAAGGGTCTGGCGCTGTGCTATTTTCACCCTGGGGAGGATGCAACTGTTGAGATTTGTGCTCTGGGTGCTTATTTGTGGCCTTTGCCAAAGTAAGAGAAACAAACGAAGTGACAGGCCGCAAGAATACTTCAGGGAAGTGGGCGGGAAGGCCACTCTTTTTATTCACAGGGTCTTCTTCCCCTTCCTGAGATGTTCTAAATGGCAAATGGCTTTAAAAAGGGGAGAGCTGAAGGTAGATCTCCCAATATTTGGATCCTGGTTTGCTCATGCCTGCATGGCTAGCAGTCAGGAATGCTAGAAGCTGAAGTCCAAAACATCTGGAGATCTACCTTCTGCCCATCTAGGCTTAGGATACCACAGAACAGAACAGAACAGAACAGAACAGAACAGAACCTTTCCATGTAAGCATAGCCAAACATGAGACCCAAGTGTGCCCACTATTTGTGAAATAAGACGGAACAGGTTATACCCAAAAGATAACTCAGAAATGTAACTTTGATCTTCCCCTCAGTGCTTGATGGCATTCTTCTAGCATGCTGTACTAAGGAGGAGAATTCTCTGGAAGTAGCTCCTCCACACACATCTTGGACCTTCCCTCCTTCCAGCTGTACTTCAGCTCACCTGCACGGTGAAAGTCGTCCTTGCTGTAGGTGAAATCTTTAAGAAATGTAATGCACTGGGTCTCGTGGTTGTAGCGCCGCGCTGTCTCCAACAGCATGATCTATGGCGATAGAGAGGGAAGAGGTTATTGGCCTGTCTTTAAAATAGTCCAGCATATGTGGTGCCCCTATGCAGGTACGGACAGACAGGGAGTTGGTCAGGAGTGCTACAGAACGGGAGCTGCCACACTGAAAGCTCTCTGGGTGGACTCCAATCTGCTCACCGGTCCATGTGGAACCACCAGGAACATGCCCTCCCATGAGCTCAGTCAGACTGGTTAAGGGAGAAGGCACTCTCTCAGGCTGCAAGCCAAATATCTTATGCATATTGCCCTAATTTGCATGGGAAGATTTCCCAGAAAACCCACACTGCTTTCCACCGCTGAAAATGCATGTACTTTTTACAGTGGGATGCAGCACTGTTTCAGAACATCTTGGGCTACAAAGGCCACAGTGATCATTCCAGGACTGGAAGAAATGCTTCAAACCACCTTAAGACCGGAAAAATGCAGACTATGCAAGTTTAGACAGAGAAAAGGGTGTACAGCTCTCAGCATGGCCCAGCCAGCATGCTGTAGGGAGCTGTGTGGCCAATGGGGCGAGCTAAACATCCAATAAATAACGACATACAGGTTGAGAGTAATGCAAATTGCTCAACTCTTGCTCACCTCGATGGTGGAGGCCTTGAGCAGCGCAATCTGGTCTTCCCGAGAAAGCTGCAGGAACCCAGGCACCTGCTTAGCAAAATCCACAATCTCTTGTACCGAGATGATGGCCAACTCTGTGAAGTGGGCAAAGCGCTGTTGCCGAGCCTCTCGGCTATTGGGGTCGCTGCCCATTGGCCAGGGCTGGCGAGTGATGCAAATGGTACCAGAAATACAGAAGGAGAGAAAAAGGAGGGCAAGGTTGGTCTAGAGGCATGCGGACACCATGGTCTTCCCCAGCACCATCTCAAGGACTTGCTCAACCAGCCCCTCCACACACACTCCCCAGATTCTACCACCTCTTATACCCGATGTAGTATATTAAATTAGAAGAAGCTGGTGATTCCCTCTTAATAATGTGCAGGAGACTTTCTGTCCTCTCCAAATCCCCTGCCCATTTTCCTTAACCATCAGGATTACTCTGCTCTACTCCTCCAACACAACCTCAGTGACCCAAGCAATTCCTTCCTGGAGAGATGTTCCTCCTGACACAGGAAAATACCTACAAGTGAGGACAGGTGGGACTGGAGCAATCATCAGAGAAATCAATTGCAAATCTAGACACATAAGCTCCAAAGTTCGTCCCACCTTCCACTCAATCAGCACACCCTATTGAGTTCTTGTACCATGTTTTAACTCAGGGTGGGCAGAAAGATTTGGATCAACTGATAGATATCTACTGGATCAGCAAGGATTTCTGACTCTTAACTGTTTAACCAGAGCAACAAGAAAAGACACACCCTGATTCTGAAATGCAGAAAGCCAGGTAAATGCCAGGCAGGTGAATGCCTCAGTTCTGGCACTCAAAGCAACTCCCTGAACATTAAAAGTGCAATCCTATGCATGTTCAGTCAGAAAAAATCCTACAGCCAACTAACTAGGAAGTCTTCAATTAAGAATAGCTTCTTCTTTTGTCCAAACTAGAAAATGATGGTTACCACCTATGGAGTAAGCCAGGATTCTTTAACTTCAAATCATGGTTTTAAGATCCTGGCTTGTTCCAGAGTTGCTAAGTATGGTTTCCTGGTTCAGATGAAACAAAAAAGAATGGCTGATTAGAGGCTTCCTTTTTAAACTGTGGCTTAAATTAGAGAGTTGTGTGTTGAGGCTCATTTGTATCTCAGCTAATTAAGCCGAGCTATAGTTGCCTAAACGGGACATGCGTATGTTTGCGTGGGTCTTGGGGGGATCTGTGGGGAGTCGGGTCCCTCAGATGAAGAGATGAGGCACAGACTCAATAATGCTGGATAGGATGCCTGGGAACACCATGAATCAGGAGCACTGACTCTCTTTCAACCCAAGGACTGATTTTTTTTCCGGAGGAGCTGTCAGGGGCTACATTCCAGTAGCGGATGGGGCTGAAGGCAAAAGGGGTGCACTATAACCTTAAATATCCTATTGCCAGTAACTAAGCCTTAGGAGAGGCGCTGCAGTAACTGAGCTTTAGGAGAGGGGGGAAATTGCGGAAAAGATGGGAAGCTAATTGGTAGTTAGAGGCAAAGGGGTATGACCATGTGGAGATCCTGGGGGGACTGAATCTGGGGTATTACATGACAGCTTGAAAGGAAGACATGACTGGAGGCAGGAAGAGGTTATATTCCCTGCTAGCCCTTCATTCTCTCCAATCATGAAGGGTTTCTACCCTTTTCTATGGTTCTACCTCGTGCTTGATGTTGGGAATGAAAGGGGCAATTTTCTAGGCACGTGACCCAAGGCCAGGCAGATTCAGACTCATCAGAAGGGGTCCAGGAACCAAAATTCGCAGACAATGAATTGGAGGAGTGGTCAGGCTTCTCCTAAGGGCACCCGCCCGGGGTGTTTAGGCACAGGTTGAGAATAGGATTTACAACTGCAGGGAGAGGCCATGGGAGAAGAATTCCTGCAGCCCGTTGAGCTTGGCACAACTCTGGACTCCGTGACACAATGTTGGGAAAGATGGGCTGATCAGCTGGAGGGGCGATGGACAAAGGAGAGGCTTGCCCATCTCCAAAAAGGGCATCCCAGAGGGTGGGGTCCAGGGGTGCTCAAAAGAATGCTCAGAAGTAGTTGCCAGATGGGTTCAACAAGCCATTCTGTGCATGCTCAGAAACTCATTCTTACTGGAAGTGCACTGGAAAAGAAAGAGCTTTTGCCAAAGAACAGTCTGTGTTTTGGAAGTGTGGAGGGGAACGTGGCTTGCAACAATTCGTTCCTGATTCCCATTCCAGACTGACACACTCAGCTATAGGATGGAACTACTTTCTGGGAAGAAACCCAGGAGCCTAGCAGGCATTTCTGTCTAGAACACCAGGCCTTCTGGCCTCCCAGGAAGATGCAGTGGGGAACTCTGATGTGACTTAGATAAAAGTTCCCCTTCCACAAACATCTGGTGTCCTCCCGATTAACAAAACCCTAATTAGATCAAAGCATAATTCAAAACACTGCAATAAGCAGAACAAACAATAATTACCGTGACTTTGGGCTGGTCGCTGAAGCTCCTCTTGTTGCACTGCTGTTGTGCGGCAACCAGTTGCCGGATCATGCCCTCTTGCTGGGGCGTGAGCGGCGCTGGCTCAGGTTGGGGCAACGTGGGGTCACAGGGCAGAGGGGGTACCCGAAGGACCTCGCCTCCACCCCCCTCCCCACCTGACGCCCCTTCCCCCTCCTGCTGCTTTCGGATCTTTTTCTTGCGGATCTGCTCTTCTGAAAGAACGCCTGGAGGAGTACGAGAGGGGAAGTGTGAGCAAGACAAGGAGGAATCACAGAGGCACTTCTCAGAGTCGCTGCTCTGGTAGGACGAGCTTCCCATTCCCACTGAAGAACTGCATTCCCTGACAGTGGAATTCCCTCCCTAGAAAGAATTGCCTGCTGCCATCACCACTCTCTGTTTACAACAAGCCAACTCTATTCTGTTTGCTCAACCTATTAATTATCATTAACTGCTTCTGGATTCCAAAGTGAAACAATCACGCCAATTGTTTGTCTGTATTTTGAAATGCAACATGCCCAGCATGGCACTCTTGATCAGCTTTTACATCTGCTTACTGCTAACATTGCATTGCCATCTTAATCTTTAATTTGTAATCTGTCCTGAAGACTGCCAATAGCAGAAAGGTGGGATGTAAACCTTTTAAAGCAAGGGTGGGCAGAAGAGAGAAGTGGATCCACTGGCGAATGTCTGGATGATTTTTTAATTCTTTTTCCCCTTTGGGAAAGAATCCAAGGGAGGTTACATAGTCCTCTCCATTTCATTCTCACAACAACCTGTGAGGTAGAGCAGGCTGGAAGTCAGGGACTGGCCCAAAGTCACCCAGTGAGCTCTGTGGTCAAGGGCAGATGAGAACTGGGGTGCATGTTGTTTCCTCGAGACACGTCCATGTGGCTGGTGGATCTCAGGGTACTAATATAAAATCAAAAGCCAATCCTGAGGGATTGGCAATGCCCATCTCGGTACGTACCAGGCCACTAAGATCTTCTGTGGAGGTCCTTCTTCAAGAGCCACCCCCTAATGAAGTGAGAGGTGAAATGGCTAGAAGGGCCTTCTCTGTGATTGCACCCCACTTACGGAATGCCGTCCCTAAGGAAGTGCTCATGGAACCATCACAGCTTGCCTTTCGGCCCCAGGTAAAGATTTTTTTATTTAACATGTGTTTTAGTAGCCGATTTGGTTTTTAATGCTGTTGACTTATTGCTGCTTACTTGCTGTGATCTTTCGCCGTGGATATGAGATTTTATATTTTTAATGGATTTTACTTGATTCTATTGTTCGATTTACTGCATTATTGTTTTTAGTGTTGGCTGTCCACGTTTTTATGTAAAGCTGCCCCAGTGAGCCCTTTTGGCTATAGAGTAGCATATAAATGCAATAAACAATAACAATGGCTAATGATCCCGTCAGCCCAACCTTCACTCCCACCAGTTCCCGGCTCCATCTCTCGCCAGCACTCACACTCCTCGCGCATGCCCGCCTGTCGGCACTTCTTCAAGCGGCACTCCTGGCACTTCCGGCGCATGTACATGTCCATGTGGCACTGCCCGATGCCCTTGCAGGTGTACTGTGCCCCTTTGATGACGCTGCGCCGGAAGAAGCCCTTGCAGCCCTCGCAGCTGAGCACGTTGTAGTGGAACCCGGAGGCCTTGTCCCCACACACGCTGCAGACCTCATCCCCCAACATCTTCGGGGCAGGGCCCTTTTTGCGCTTGCGGGCAGGCTCCTCAGCTGCAGAGAGAAGTGGAAAGAGAGAACAAAGGTGACTCAGAGACCCCTCTGCCCACCCTTGATTCCAATGACCGGTTAAGAGAGGGGTGCAGAATCTCTGAAGTGGGACCCTGCGTCCAGCCCCTGGACTTTCTCCCTTTCTATAAGGCTGACCTGCTTCCTCTAAGGTTTATAGTTCCTGGCAGTAAGAGCTGTAAAGGCTGAAATGTGCTGGAATTTTGGCCCCATCCCGTTGACCTTTGCCCGGCCTGCCACTGGAATGCGGCCTGAGAACTCCTTGGGTTGAAAGAGGCAACACAGCCCTGCCCCGAGCAGTCTAGGACCAGTGTAACTGAAGGACCACTTACTGCCACATAAAAGTGCTCAGCAGCTGAGATCTTGAAATCAAGAGGCCCAGCTTTGAACACTGCCATCTTCTCTATCAAAGAACAGGACTTCTTGATAACAAATGTATCTTTTTCCCCTTGTTGGTTCACATGGGACCAGACCAGACTGCCTTCAAAAACAAAATGTTCCACTTCAGGAGTATTTTCAACTGTGTTCTAAAAAATTATTATTTTTCAGGGGTTCATCCATTTCTAAAAGTAGCTGCAAAAACCTGCTGTTGCTATTTGCATACATTGTGTTTCAAGAATTTAAAAAAACACATGCAAGCAGCCTTCAAAATTCTGCTTAAGAAATTCTAGGCCAAAGAGTGACTCTTTTTCCAGGCTCTGGGGTCCTGTAATTGCCTTTAGGGCAGCTAGCTACAACTTGATACTGGTAGATATAAATATTTTCCCCTGTTCTAAAAGTGAATATTGCCCAATTTGTGGTAAACTGTTTAACAATACACAAGCTATCCATTTAGAATTTTATTTTATGGAATGTTAGATAACTTAGAAGATATTCTCCTATGTGAATGTGATATTGTTTGGGGTGCAATCCAGTCTGGATGCCTGTAACCCTACAAACACATATGATTCTAGAAGAAGATTGCCTCTGTGTTCCTCCCACCCTGCAGAACACCTGGATGGCCAATTTTGACTGCCTGTGTTATGACTTGGGGCAAGCATATGGAAAAGAGCCCGAGGTACTCTCAGAAGCCTTCATATCCTGGTGGTGCCTGTCTGCTCCCTTCATTCCCCCCACCGGATGCCCATTCAACCCCTGAGGTTGACAGAACTGGTACAGTTCTTTTCCCACTGGCTGGGAAAGAACTGCATAGGGCTCCAAGTTCAGAGACCCAGCTATGAGGTTAGAGAACTTTTCTGACCTCATAGCTGGGTCTCCGAAAAATCTTATGACAATCTAAATTCTGTCTAGCAGCCATAGGATGCAGTGTATTTGCACATATAGATAGAAGATACAAATATTTCTTTTTAAAAAGAGTAACAGATAATATTTGAATCAATGAATACCCAAATCCCTTTCCCAATCCCAAATGCACTTTCAGCACTCACTGCAGCCATCTGCTAGCAACATTATTCCAGGCTGCTGGCGCCTAGGCCCAGGCTGTCCCCCTTTCCCCACTCACCAGCGCTGTGTGTAGAGCTTTCTCCATCATCTGTGCAAACCACCTCGATTTTCACAGTGCTGTGAGACTCTGGCCTGGCCTCTGACCACTCGTCTTTGACCTGTGAAGCGGGCTCCCCATCCTCTGTTTAAAAAACAAACAATGGAAAGAAAAATGAGGCAAGACAAGAGTTCATCTTCAAAGGCCCACCTCCATCACTTGGCCAGGCCTGGGCTGGCAGATCAAGGTGTCAGGTGCTGGCTTACCTAATGATAAGTCAGGTTCATCGGTGCCCGTTTTGGCCATCTCAGGGCATTAGCCACAGCAGCATTGCATAGTCAGCTCTGGAACCAGGCAAACAAATAAAAAGGCAGTTCAGCTAGCAAGACACTTTCCCTTTGCTCTCCTTCCTCACTCCTCTTTCATCTCCCTGGGAAAAGGACAATGGTCCAGCCACTTCTTCATATCTTGGCATATCAACGTTTTGATTGCTGCAGTCAGGTCCTTCTCCTACCACTTATTCACTTCAGATCTCTTACGGCAGCCTTCTCCATCCGAGCACCTGCAAAGGTATTGAACTTCAGCTCCCATCAACTTTGCCAGCAAAGCCAATGATCAGGAATTCTGGGAGTTAGAGTCTCAGATATCTGGAGGAGGCTGTTTTAAAGAGCAGAGAAAGAACAACTCCAGTTTCCCGTTGCCTACCAATGCCCGAGGAGTGGGAAAATGCCCCTCCTTGCCTGCTCCTCTTCATTCTTGTGAGGGTTGGTCAAGGACATTTTGCTGCCTAGTGCAGAAGAGTAAGCAGTACAGAACAGAGAGAACAGAACAGGGGAGAACAGAACAGACGGTACCTCCTTCGCCAAGTCAAGGTGCATAGCATCCAAGTGATCTTGGTTCCTGAGGCATAAAAACCACCACCACCACCACCACCACTCCACTATTTTATTATTACACAGCCTTTCTCAGAGCATAAAAACACAATACTGGAATGATAAGCAGTGCCCTGTCCTTTCACAACATCTCAAGAATCGGAGGAGGCCCAAGGGAGGTGTCAGCTCTGTAACACCAATGCCCATCATCTATAATGCAGGAACCTTGGGTTACATTCTATAAAATTGACCAGCAGCAGATTCAGGACGGACTCAAAGACATATGCTCTCATGCCACTTCTGTACTTAATGAAAGAAACCCATTATTGCAAGATGTGGTAATGAGTTCCTACATTACCAAGAGGTAGATTTACAAGAGGATAAGACCAGTTCATGGAGTACAGGTCAATAGCTCTTGGCTGCAATGGCTCAATGCAATCTCACATTGGGAGGGAAGCAGACCACTGAAATCTAATTGCAAGGGGCAAATCCATACATAACCTGTGAGATTCCTGGTGGTTTCTGGTTGTCTATCATAGGATACTGGAACAGACTTTGGTCTGATCCAGCAGAACTCTTCTTATGTTTTTTCCTCTTATGTCAAGGGTAGACAGCCTGTGGGCCTAGAGTGCACATGGCCTTTGGCTTAATTTCAAAGCAATCAATATTGATATTTGGAGAGAACAAACTGTCCCTCCGCTGCCAGCCCAAAAGCTAAGATGAATGAGATTGGGTTCAGACAACATGATAATCCACACTCTAGGTATAAGTATACACTGAGTGTGGATTGTTGTTGAACGCTGTTGAAATGTGAGCTATTGTGTTGTCTGAACCCAGCTGCACTAACAAGCCATGGCTTATTAACCACAAACAACCCATGAAGAGAACCCACAGTTTGTTGATAGGTGATGAACCGTGGGTTGTTCACCATGGTTTATTATCTCAGCTAGGTTCAGACAACACAATAACCCATGTTTTGACAACACCCTATGAACAACAATAACTCACACTCAACCCACCCCAAACTCCTTAAGCATGGGTTACTATGCTGCCTGAACCCAGTCTGAGATTGAGAAGGGGGCATAAGATAAAGAGAGAAAAGGGGTGACCCCAACCACTTGGGTATGATGCTTCCCACCAAGGGAAAGCTCTATAGCTCAGTGCTGGAGCAGATTCAGATCCCAGATTCAGTGCCTGGCATTTCTGTCAGGCAGGACAGAAAAACTGCCAGAAACTCCAGAAAGCTTCTGCTGCTGCTTAGTGTTGGGAGTCCAAGGCTTGATGGACCCACACTCTGGCTCAGTACAAGGCAGCTTTCTATATTCCTATGGAATGCAGCTGATGTCAGAAAAAAAACGTTTTATACGCCTACCTTACGTTATACTATTTCTAAAGCACTCCTTACATGCTTCCTCTTCCTGCAAAAAGCTACCCTTTTCACAAGAAGGAAACTGAGTGCCTTTTGATCTATGTGTCCATCATGAGCCTCATCTGCTGCTATCTATCTCTTTCCCATCTACCATCTCCTCTGCACATGTGCAAATTTTCACTGCCACCCAGTTTGATATATATCCCCCCACCCCAAGCTCACCCAAACAATTTCTACCATACAGTCTCACCTTTCTCCCCACAATGGGGAAGCCTCAGCTAGCTGACAACCACATAACAGATCTTCTGGGGTAGCAAAAGCAAGAAAATGGAAAGAAAAGGCAGGTGGCCAAATGACTGATCTGAGGTTAAAGTGCACCTGAAAGGGAAAGAGGAATCAGGTGTCAATAAATCCCTCTAATCTCTTCATGCCACTCTCCCCACATGAGATAGATGAACAGTAATCCCAGCAAGACAGACATATTTTCAACACACATTATTTGACACCCACTGTTGCAGGGATCTTGTATAGTCAACATCCTTAAATGGTGTGAGAAGGTGAGTAAAAAGTTATGCACAGAGTGTTTATAGGTAACTGTGGGGATACCGAGAGTTTCAGAGAACATGCACAAGGTTACATCCTGTTACTTCCAATGAATGCATCTCTGTTTACTATTATCCTTTGTTGTTGTCTGTTCATAAAGAATAAACAGAAGAATAGAAACCATATGTCAAGTCAAAAGTATCACACCAAAGGAATAAACAAAACAGTTACCATTTTCTAACCATGTGCAAGTATGAAAATGCGTGCAAAATGTTAACTCATCTGTGTTACACAGCCTTGAGCAAGCATCTTTAGGATATGCTCCTCTAGATCAAAGTGGACATTCGTCACCCTGCCATGCAATTTACATGCTCTCTTGTGTTAATCAGGCTGCTTGAAAAAAAAGAGGTATTCTCAGCTATAATTACAGAATTATTATTTTAACAACTATAAGGAAGCTGTTGCAGGAAAAAGTTTAAGTCTTGTGTAAGTTTTCCACATGCTCCCTCTGTCACTACTGAGAATGAAAGGAAATGCCCTTTAGTCCAGCTGACTATATAAATTAAGTAGCTTGCATTGCATCTCCGTAGCACTTTCAAATGTTAAAAGCATTTTATGTACACTAGCTGGTGATATTCCTGTAAAATAAGGCAAGATTATTCCTTCTTTTTCCAAACTTTAGAAGTGAGCAGGAATCCTTATTTAGTCAAAACCTTACCGGGGGGGGGGGGGGGGAAGAGACCTTGTAATAATGTCTAATGAGAACTGAGCATACTCAATGGCCACAGAATTTTCAGTGGGAGAAAAAAACACAGAAAACCAGGATCGAATTGAGTATCTTGAGGAAGGAATTGCTGGCCTCCTGAAGAGAAGCACTCCATACTGCAACATTTTGTTGCAGGCCCCACTTGCCTCCCACATTGCAGATGGAGGGGATGGGGAACTGAGGCTTAAGGGAGAGTGGATTGCCTAAGGCTACTGGCTGAGTCCATGGCAGGCATAAAATTCAAACCTGGGAGCTAATTCGTAGTTCATTCACTTGGCTGTTACACAAGTACTTGACAGGCACAGTTCCACCAGGTGCCACGTGCCAGAGCAAGTTCCAGTTGTCCATGGTCCTCAGCACCATTTAGAGGGGCTCTGCCATTTCTCCTGCCACAACCATCTGTCTCTAGGGAGTCCACTGGGGACTCTGACACCTCTTTCCGTTGGGGATGGCTAGAAGCAGCACAGATGGTAGAAATCCTACCCACTGAGAGCAAAGAGAGTATAAAAGTCAAAGCAAACCCTTCCCTGCTGATCATCTGCTTGGCAGGCTGCCGTTGTTATTGTTTTGAACCCTCTATGAGAGCCTTCCCCAACCTGGTGCCCTCCAGATGTTCTGGAGTTCGACACTTTTCTAACCATCCACCATGGCCAGTGCTCAGGAATACTAGGAGCTGTAGTCCAAAACATCTGAAGGATGAGGGAAGGCTGCCTGTCTTATCTTCCTGTAAAATAAGGAATAGGGACCTCACACATCCTTGCTGTGCCCATGCTTCGATCTGGGGACCGCCGGGGCTCAAGAGCACCGATCCTCTCGCCAAGCTTGCAATCCGGCAGACAAAGCCCCACAGAATACGATGGGGCTTCCCAAAGAGTAAACATGCCCTGGATTGCACAGTAAAGGAACCGCAGGGATCTTAGCATAAGAGTGCGGGGGTGGCAGCTTTACTTCGCAGGTTAGGACTTTTTCCGGGGGGTGGAATACACTCCTCGGGAGAGGGGGTGGTCGTCAAGCGACTCCAACTCCAGCCTTCACACAGCAGGTACCTCCCCAAAACTCCCTACCGCCCCCCAACTTTCGACCCCCTTCGTTACCTCTCTGTCTCTCTCTGCCTCTCTCCCTCCTGCTGCAACTTGCATCAAAAAAGTAAAAACAGTTATCGCACACAGGAGCCAGTCGCTTCCGGGAACCCTTGCTGGGCGTCACTTCCCTTTCCAGCTTGGGAAACCACCCCTTCTCCGGCAGGCACCTCCTTCTACACCCGTGTCGCGGCAGTTACACAACCGAGGACGCGTGTGGGATCGGCTGGTGGAGAGCTACCTTGTTCTCTGTAGAAAGGCGCAGCATCTAAGGGCCGAAGCGGAGATGATTTTGTATCTGTCTCCGGCAACTCCGTCTTTTTAAAAAATCATTCCAAAGTAGAGACGGGGAGCCTGATTCGGATCTTGAAGGCACCCCACGCACCGCGCGTGTAGACACGAGGAGCTGGATTCGGATCTTAAAAGCACTCGCAACGTCACCCATCGCACCCTCTCCCTGTGGTTGGTGGCGTAGCAGCAGTCCTGAACCGAATTGGGATCCCTGTGTCGGGACCTTAGCGCGCAGTGTAGCTGCGTGGAAAGGAAGGGGGATGTTCCGATTCTGAGTTTCCCATGGCTCCTCTAAAGTGAAAATGAAAAAAATCAGACTGAGCGTCCTGCGTCTGCTCTACAGTAAAAATGAATAAATGAAGGAAAGAATGCAGAAAGAGCAATTAGGATGCGAGACACAGGTTAAAAGTCGTGTTTGGGCCCGAAAAAATCCAAAACCGGAAAGGGCTTTGCATATGCTTTTAAGGTGAACTCCCATGTATGTTTAAGCCGAAAAACAGTCCCACAATTCCCAATGCCCCTCAGCCTGTTGCTGGGGAATGCTGGTAGTTGTAGGACTTGTCTGCCTAAAGGTGTGTAGGGTTGTGCACTAGTTCGCTTTCTCAATTGTGGCACCCATTTTATGGGATCAGCTTCCCAGATATGTCCGCCAAGGGCCTTCCAGAAAAAAGAAGTCATTGAAATTTATGTTCACAATCGGGATTGATTTTACTGTTTGCATTTTTTCTAATTGCTCAATTTATATTTGAATGTTATGCATCAAGTTAAAAGATTTTTTTAGTTCAATTTGTTCTCCTGAAATAGTGCATGTGCTTCATTGTGTGATAAGACCATCCTCCCCCATTCTGCATAACTCTGTCAATTTTCTCCAATACTTGGGGTATCATGCACAGAATCCAATGTCTGGCCCTGCTGGGAGGTGGGGACTCTGGGGTGGCTGATCCTTACACCCACGTCTATGCGTGCTAACCCTCTCAAAGAACTCTAAAGGCTTAGCAAGGCCTATATTTTCTTTTGTAGCAGTAAAACCTGTGGAACTCAATGGGATTTACTTTTGAGTGGACATGGATAGGACTGCAGAACCCATGCCAATTCTTTAGCAAGATTTTTTCTTCTCTGATCTTGATAATGCTATAATAATTCATGCCAGAACCAAAGTTGAAAGAGTCAGTTAAGAGTGCAGAAATGGGACTCAGAAGATCCCCACTCATCCATGGAGTTAACTTTGGGTGACTTTGAACCAGTCACAGATTCACAGCTCAACCTGCCTCACAGAGTTGTTGTGAGCATAACATTGGGGGGAGGAGGAGAATTATGTATGTCACCTTTAGTTCCTTGGAAGGAAAAAGGCAGGATAGAAATGAGATGAATAAATAAAGAAGTAACATGACTTATAATTGTCTGGACCGATTTCTTAAAAAAACACACAAACAGAACAGTGTTCCATTGGTTGTGCTCTAGGCAGAGGTTCAATGATAATGCAATAGTGCCTTTTTGGCCAGATGCCTTTGTTAAACCTCTAAGCATGCTGGTGTCTGGCTCTCCTGTAGATCTGAGTCAGCTGACTCTTTAATTATGCCTAAGGCAGGTGCCTCTTGCACTATACTACTACTTGTTACGTAATTTTCTACATAAGCAGACAACAGAAACTAAAGGTATCAGAGAAGCATAGCAAGTGCCCCATGATTCTGGAAACAGAGCAAAGTCTTACATTTAGACTGTAGACTTGGAAGGAAGCCATCTAAAGGGACAAGAGGAACAATATACAACGCTGAAATTTAGCATACCATTGTTGCTAGAAATTTCTGAAAAAATGACCATTTTAAACAAATGACCCAAATGAACCAAGTTAAATATGCCAAGCCATACTTGCAATGCCCAGGGTGTGTGGGGTAGAGCTCACATGTTTTGACAATCCTAATTTGGGATAGAAATAATTTCTAGTGGCAGGACGGAACAATATCTTTGTTAACCGAGTCCAAAGCAAACTTGCTGGCATGGAATGTAGAAGCAATGTCTGTAGCATCAAATTAATGATAATTGCGCCTTTTAGACTTTTTTCCAACCCTGACAAAATGCTGTTGAATAAGTTAAGGGATCACAGGTATATAGCTGGTTACTCCAACTACCTTGTAACTTTGATTTGTACCCATGATTCCTTGTGTGCGCAATCTCTCAGAAGGGTGAAAGTTGGACTAAAGTACCCTGCAGTTTATGAGTTTGACGCACAGTCATCACACTCATTAAATATGCCCTTAGTATCATCTGAATGGTTAGCTAAGATGTTAGCTTTAACAATATAAGAAAATTTCTGCTGAATCAGATGAAAGATCTGCCCTAGTAGTCCTAAAGAAGGCCAGACTCCTAGTGCGGTAGACCAGATGCCCGTGCAAAGTCCACAACGTAAGAAATCTGGGAGTCCTGTTCAACATCGCTCCTTCCCTGCGTAGCACCATCCTCCGCCTTTGCGCTCCCTTAAACGCGCCCGCCGGCCTGGCGCCCGCCCTCCGCATTCTAACCCCGCCGTCTCCGGCCAAGTCTGACTCAGAGCGCAGTGGGCGCGGCTTCTACGGAGCTCCACCCCCTCAAACCCGCCTACTTACCCCTTTCCCGCTGCTCGCGAGTGAATAAGAAACTGAATCTTGCACTTGAGAGTGCGCTTTCGCGGTGCAAACTTTGAGTGTAGCGGAGGAGCGTGAGAACTTACCTGGTCGACTTTCCTAGTTGTGGGTTAAGTAAGTGTGGTTTAGGGATGGGGACGGCCGTGGGATACTCAAGTCCCCAGAACAGGGGTCTCTGATCTACTCTCAAAGGGTGGGGAAAGGGATCCGAGAAAGGCGATGAATGGGGGAAAGGCAACGAGAGGTGACACAGAGAAAGAGTTTCAGGTTTCAGTCTTGTACACTTTTATTCGTACCCATTGTAGTGCAGGGGGCTTTACTTCCGGGTAGACAAGCCTCATACTGCTCTCCCAGTCTGAAAAAATAGGGAGGATTTGGGGACAGTCACTGATCTGTGACTGGTGGTTTAGAGGAGCAGGGATTATATATGCGAAGGATTGGAGTTGTGAAGCAAAGCAATGTTTACCTTGTAGATATATTTAGGGTTTTTTGTTTCGCTTTTAGGATTTTGGTGCTTTAATCTTCATTGCTCTAAACTGCTGTTTTAAAATCTTGTGGATTTTAAAAAAAAGCATTCGACTGGGTTTTCATAATTGATTTTAATGTGTTTTATTTTGTATCTGTGTGAGTCATCCTGATTGGCTGTAGGGCAACTCATAGGCTGAATGAATAAGGGTGCAATCCTATGCAAATTTAGGCAGAAAAAAGCCCTATGATTCCCTGTATTCTCTGGCATGTGTAACCAACCGTAGACTATTCTTCTATTTAAACTTGCATAGCATTGCGCCTAAAATAGGTGTTAGGGTAGTTAGAGGAAAACAGAGCAGGTAAAACCAAGGTGTGTGTTGAATTAGTGCTCTTTGGAGTAAAGAAGGCAATTTTCTGTAGATCTTGTAAACAGTAATGTGGGGCTTTAATCAATGCATGTATTATTTACCATATCTAAAACAGATATATCTAAAAATACCCTCCAGCTTTGTGGTACGGGTCACTTACTTGGAACATTTGTAATTCTTTTTTGCTCTGACATTATCTTTACTTGTGGCATGATTTGGGTGAGGAATACAGCTCTAGCTGATGAATAGGCACTGTCTTTGAGTAAATGGCTGAATTAGGTATTCTCTAAATGATATAATACTAGGTAGGAACAGTGGGAGAAAAGACATAGAAACAGAGTGAGTCGGAAGGAAGGCTGTATCCATGTAAAGTTTTGGGGGTGTATTGTGATCAGTTGTCCATATATGCCCGCCTGCCCCTTGAGATCTGCGGGAGAGGCCCTTCTCCAGGAACCCTCCATGAAAGAAATTAGGAGGGTGGGTACTCGGAGGAGGGCTTTCTCTGCGGTGGTGCCCAACCTATGGAATTCGCTCCCCAAAGAGGTCCGCCTGGCGCCATCGTTATTTGTTTTTTGGTGCCAGGCGAAGACCTTTTTATTTAAACGTCATTTTAATTGTTAACAATATTTGCTTATTTATCTGGCCAGGGCGACTTATTTTATATATAAAACAAAACTTATTTGTTTTATATTGTTAATTTTATATTGTTATTTTTGTATTTTATTGTATTTTATTGTGTTGTAAGCCGCCCCGAGGCTTCGGCAAGGGGCGGCATAGAAATGTTTTAATAAATAATAATAAATAATAATGGGCTGTAAGAAACATGATGCAAAGCATGATCATAAGAGGAAAGGAATGCAAGGGAAAGGGCTAATATACTATGTCAGGGTCTCTTTTTTCCTTTCCAGGGGTGATGATAGATGTAAAGGAGAGGTAAATTTCTCCTCTGTGTGCCAAGCTAGCTTGGTGGTACTGAGGACCCATGTCAAGGAGTCCAGTACCCCCCAGGAAGCAGGTGGAAGAAGAGACGCGACGGGTGTTAGAAGCATTCCTGCAAGGAGCATTGTGCAATGGAGAGGCAGGAGCCCCAGGCCATGTGGGCCGATGCTACCATAATCCCCAAAGTTACATGCACAGGTAAATGGGTTGAGAAGCAACATTCTGGCATCTCTGAGAAATGTAGAAAATTAAATCTGGGGCTGGGCAGGAATCCTGGGTCCTCAGGGACTTGTGGGAGAAGATCTTGCGGTGATGAATTCTGGATTGGAATCTAGGCCTGGTTTCTTCTGGGGAAGTGTGATTTGCATTTTGTTCCCCAGGAACTATCATCTTGCATTCTGTCTGAGAGAGGGGGAAAGGAGGCCTACTACATCTAGCTAGGAGAAATGGGCATTGGTGGCCAAGAGCTATTTGGGCAAGACTGGAATGTAGCTTGATATCATCTTCCAATTTTTGGGATCCACCTGTCCTAAGGAAGTAAAGCAGATGTTGACCTGAAGACTGTTCTAGCAGTGGCGGTTCTTGTTTGTAATAACTTTCATAAAAAATTCCCTTAGTGCCAACTTTGCTATCTTTTTAGTGCTAGGTGAAGAGCTTTTATGTTCCCAAAGATTTTAGATCAAGGAGGCAAAGCTAATGACCTACAGGCCTATTCTTACATGCCATGCTTTCCAGTATAGCCTGCAAGCCTTCTGCAGTTCATATATATATATATATATATATATATATATATATATATAAATAAATTAAAATTTTTAACGAACACTAAAAAAAAAATCAAACATCACAAACATTGGATTCACTGGGTCAACCTCCTACTACATATTTTTTAACATTCTAATATCAAATTCAAATTAATTCATCATAGTTTGAAAAACATCTCTAAATTTACACCAAGTTCCGTTTCTCCAGCCAATTATAAAAAGAGTCCCAAGTTCGATAGAAATCAGTATGCCTGCTGCAGTTCTTATATGGAATGGGACACTAAAATCTTGAGACTTTGGTAGTAGGCAGCGTATAAATGGAAGTATAAATAAACTTGCTGAAAGTAATTCAGAGTACTCAGCACTCCTGTTTAAATGCAATTAAACTGAGCCTTCAAAGAAATCTTGTGGGCATTGAAATTTAGATGCTTTTAACAGCTGCTACTGCTGTTACTGTTTTGCTGTTTTTAGTTGGGGGGGTTGTTAATTTTAATGTTGTTATTTTTTCATTGCTTGATACTCTGGAAATCATTTTAGATTTGAAAAGGAAAGGAAGAAACACATGCAAATTTTTATTAAAGAAAATTCTAGGCTGACTGGTGACCAAAACTCCCAGTTTTCTACTGCTGCCCTCTCATTGCAGGTCCCCAACTGAACATGTGCCACAGTGTCCAGCCTGGACCCTCATCCATGAGGAGATTAACCGCGTGGAGGAGAAAAAACATGGCTTCCGTACTAGCATCAAACACTTCTTGCGACGGCGGCCCAGCCCGCGTCGGTCCACAGACAGACAGCCTTCCTCAAAGGACTCCTTGAAGCAGTCCAAGGCAGGAGGCGAGGGAGGGGAAGGGGCTCGCCAGAAGCATTCCTTCTCCTTCAAGAGCCTCCTGCGGAAGAAGGGTGCCACCTCAGAGGAGACGGTGGGTCCTGCTGACCCATCTCAACGGCCTAATTCTTTGCCTGTTGTCAGCTGTTACTGTAGCAAACCGCCAACTGAGGAACAGAAGCCCCAAGCAGCTGGTAAGAAAACACCCAGTCATGAAGCTCGTAAAATGGAAGCCTGGGTCATTCCAGGTATAAAATGGCTGCAGGGATGGGCATAGCTGGTCATAGAATAGTAATTTCTCAGACAAAAAACTGGTGAGCCTAAAATAAAAGTATCTTGCATAAGAATCTAAGCACAAAGCAATGGCTGAGCCTGAGGTCCACTTTTTTGAATCCCAGTAAAGATGGTTCTAGAGAATAGCACTACATTTCACAGCAAGCAAGCCTTCCCTGTTAAGCATTTTGTAACAAAGTAAAAACCTCCTTAAAAATAAAATAGGAAGGGCAGAGAGCTCAGCAAGATGCCAGGAAAGGTGTCTTCATGCCTGTATGTGCCATGTTAGAAATCTCAAGTATGTATATCCTGCCTCATTTAAAGAAGGATGGGATAAATGTAAGCCACCCAGAGAGTCTATTCCTAGTAGGGCAGCATATAGAATAGAATAGAATAGAATAGAATAGAATAGAATAGAATAGAATAGAATAGTGGTATTTTACCAGACAAGTCTATCTTACAAAGACTGGTATATAGGTGCCCTGCCAGTGTTACAGCCCTGGTGTCTCCAGCATAGAGCCCATGGGCACCCTTTTCCCCATGGACAAATGCCTTGATTCACACCAGGGTCCCTCCTGAATTATTTGTATTTACAAAAATATTTTGACTGTTGAAGCATCTTGCTTAAGTCAAAACCTTGTGTATCCTTTCATCAACAGAAGATGGTCATGTGGCATCCCTTAGCTTTGGCTGCATTACTAGCCAGTAAGTATCTCAGTAATGCAGAGTAAGGCTTGTTCTGTGCCTTGCTTTAATTACTTCCCATTCTTTCTTCTAGGTACCAAGGCTGAGGATGCTGAGTTTTATACCTTGGTGGCCCAGAAGCTGGACCACTTGGTGAAACAGCAACAGCTGATTAGTCCTGTGGCAGTACCAAGTGTGCCTTCTCCCACAGTTCAGATCAACACACTTCCCCTAGACACTGCTTCCAATATACCAGGTATTGGATCTGTTTACTTGTGGGAATACCCTGCCCTATCACAAGGCTCGGGTCAGATAACAGTGATACATTTTCGTTCCTGCTCCTTTTCCTGGAACAGTTATTTTCTAGGGATTATGTTCCACAATTCTCGTCTCTCGTTCTCTACACTACCTCCTGGTGGGACCACACCATCTATCTTAATACCTTAGAATTGCACTGGTCTTCCTGGTTACAGATCATCCAGAAGAGCTACCTGGAGAACTGTATGCGAGACAGAAAGAGCATATCCTCCAGAAACTGTTTGCCCTCCTAGAACAGCAGGCTGGAGACATCAATAAGGAGGTACAAGCTTGGACTGCAATGAATTATTAGTTAACCATCTTCTCTTCTTCTTTACCTGTCAGTATAAAAGTATGAAGTTAAAAGAAGACAGGAATGCCCTGTCCTTTTGGACCCATGGGATTTAAGAAATTGCTCTGGGCATCACCACAAAATGGTTTTCATGAAGGATGTGGCTAGTAAAAAATGGCCTCAAGAGATTGTGGGGAGAAAAATAGTGAAGTTGGGAGGGAGGGGGAAATAATACAAAGAGGCCCAAAAGTGCAGGTCTGATGGCTGGGATGGGGAGAAAGAGTGAGCCAAAAAGGTGAGAGAAATAACACGGCTGGGAGGGGAAACTTAATGGCAAGGCAAAGGTCTAGAGACAGTTAGCTAGAAATTGAGCGAAAGAAGGCATTTTCTTTCTGGGAGCTATATGATATCCCTGCAGATTCCATTGTGGGGACCCCAATATGAGAAACTAATATATAAACTGCCCCGAGAGCTTTGGTTATGGGTGGTATTATTTCATTTCTGTAACAACAGCAGTGGGAACGATGGATGTCGTAGCTCTTGGTTCCAACTGGGTTCCAACTAGGAGTGGGCTGCTTTGGGAAGCTGGAAGGCTGTTTACACCCTCCAACACATGTACAATCCAAAGGGCAACCAAACCAAACCAAACGCCACTTAAAAAGTAAAGAAAATGGCATTGATAGTAGCTCAGAGTGCTCAAAGGGTCAAACTTAAATTACTTGAAAAGTAATATTAATCCTTTAGCACTCTGCGGCAGCTATGGATGCTGTGCTCTTCTAATTATACGTATATAGCTAAAAAAAATGGGGGTGGGATCCGGGGATGCATGTATGCGTAGATCATTTGATTTGAAATCTAAGCTGCCCTCGCCCTGACAGTTGAAGTTTTATGGGTTTCTCCCTCCTTTCTATCATTGACAGATTGAGGCCGACCCGTTGCTACGCAGCTCCGTCTCCCGGTTGTCATACCGCAGCTTTTCCCGCCTGGTTGAGGCCTTCACGTCACGGACTCCACCTGGTGTCCCTAGCCCCCAGCTGGCCAAGCTGGCCCTCACCATGGAGCTCACGCGGAAAGTGGCCGGAATCAACAGCCACGCAGTACACACCCTTATGGGCTACAGCCTGCAGTATATGGACATGTTTGTGCCTTGGCTGCAGCAGCAAGGTGGCTGGGTAGGTAGGGAAGTTTTGTGCAACACCAAGGAGTTTGCTTGGGTCAAGCCAGAAAATTCCAGTTTTTTAAGGGTTGAGTGTGATTTTAATGTGGGGTTTTATTGTATAGCAATTAATTTAGATGCTGGGCTCCACCCTGTTTATTGTAAGACCATCCCAAGACCTCAGTAGCAGACAGGATATAAAAGTTTTCAATCAATCAATCATTCACTCTATCTGTTAGACAGTGAAACATGACTCAAAAAAGTGCATTCATGTGATGGCTTGCCAGCCCAGTATGTAAACAATCCACACATTCATCAGCAATAAAGTCCTTTAATGCTAATTGTCTACAAGATTTCCAACTCTATAGATAAGCTCTCTAATAGTGGTCCTTGCTATACAGATGTTAACCCCCTAATGGCTTCTCTTCCCAAGCCCACGTGGGATCATTCTCCCAAGTCATGCCTTTCCTCCCTCCTACGTAATAAATCTTGCCGTAAACAAATCTTAATATCTACGTAAAATTCTCCTGTTCTCAGCTTTTGAAAAATTCACAAGGCCTACTGTGTCTTCTGTTTCTGACTCGGGGAGATCAGCATCAGCGGGGGAAGAGGCAGTTTGCTCTGCCTCTTTCTGAATAGAACTCACAGCTTCCTCTTTCTCTTTGCTCCCTGGCTCTAATAAAGGACCGGGCATTTGCTCAACGTGCTGGGAGTCAGAGGAAGACGCAGCAGCTGGCTCTGCTGTCCCTACTCTGATTTGTGGGGTGGATTCTTGGACACTGGTCATCAAGTGCAAGTCCTCCTCGTGAATCACTGCTTCTGTCGGAGCTTCATGCACGACACTTCAGTGGAAAAGAAATGGCTGGCAATATTTGGCCCAGAATGCACTGTCAATCAGGAATGACATGGGGGATTGTGGGAAAGCACTTGAACATGATCATGTTGCAGTAAAGTGATCCCTTGCATGAAAGGGTCATGTATTCTATGAGGCATGTAGTTTGGCTGGTTCACCCTCCAGCCCTTCTGTCCGCTTCTGTGAAATGGAACCAAGGGATATTTAATGGGAGGACTACAAGAGTCCTGGCTTGAATGCAAAAGTCAGTCCACAGGGCACCACAGACTCATCAGTCCTCTAGCTGGTAGAGCCAGATTGGAGTTGTAGGACCCTCCAGGGCGCTTTCTAGTGAACCATTTATTCCTGGGGTAAGCAATTCAGTGCTCTCCAGATGCATTGGACTACAGCTCCAGAAAGCCCTAGTTAGCACTACCAATGACTGAGGATTATGAGACTTGTAGTCCCAGACATCTAGAGGACAATAAGTTGCCCTTCCACTTTTTGGGGGACTCGAGCTCAACTGAGGCTTTTTATCCCTCTTGGGCCAGAGCACCCCTCGAGGAGTCTTCCTCAGCCTGGTGCTCTTTGGATTGCAACTCCCAGCATTCTTCACCATTGGACATGCTGACTGGGACTTGAGAGTCTTAAACACCTGGAGGACACCAAGTAAGGGAGGGCTGTTCTAGAGTGGAGCACCTAGAACTGGAGTCTAGAACCCTGTTCCTCCATCAGCTTTTTTGTATGTATTACGCTTCTGTATTGTGCAGTAGCTGAAACTCTTTTGCCTAGTGAACTGCATCTGTTGGAGGGGGCAGGATCAGGAAATGTGAGGCCCTTGGTGAAAGGGGAACTAGTTCATAAGGAGAAGCTGTGCCTGGGGGTGGGCCAGTTCAGAACCTCTGTCTTGTACAGCTCTTGGCCAACAAAAGCTGGGGCTGGGGACTGAATGTGGGTCCAGCAGCTTCTTCTTTGCCCTGCTACTCTTCCTTCACCTCTGCATCAATAGTGGTGCTTCCTTCTCAGTGTTAGGGTTGTAACATGATGGAAGAACAGTAGACAGACTGTGGAAAATCTGTTATATTGTGGCTGCTGTGGAAATGGCTGTTGATTAACCTTCTTCTCTCTGTGTAGGAGAATATTGTGGCCCAGGATGAGAAGTTTGACCTGCAGCTCGACTAGCCACTCCTCCACCCTGAGCCAGTGCTCTGATGACTGTGAAGCTTATGCTCTTGTGACTTGTTAGGGGAAATGTGACTGCTGATGTTTGGCCCAGCTGTGGGCTTAAAGGTTCTGGGAATCCCAAAGAAAAGATATGCGAGATCCAGGTTTGCTTCCAAGGAGATTAGCCTATTGAGTAACTTACAATACATGCAATAACAGCAATCAGTCAGTAATGCTTTCATCAGCTGGGATGAATGTACAGGGAAGCTTGCTGGTCCAGGAGTCCAAACAAAGAGAGGTTAGCCCAAGTGCCCACTTTAGATACGCCTGTTGCTTATAGCAAAGCATACATTGATACAGGTGTGAGCTTTGAAGTTGTAACCCTGAAGCTGATGTAGTTATATCATGCAAGACTCCACTGATTGGAAAAAAGCTCTTTCTCACCATAAGCTTCAAAGCTCGCTGGAGAAGGGAGGTCACAAAGGGAAGGACCATCTCAGTTGTGGCATCCTGTTTATGGAACCAGCTTTCCAAAGAGGTGCGCCTGGTGCCAAGTCTTTATTCTTTGCAATGCCAGGCAAAGCCCTTTTTATTTTCCCAATATTTGAATAGCTGTTTTATATTGTATATTAAATTTTGTATGGTTTTGTATCTTGGATTGCTGCTTCCCCCTCCCTTGATTTGTTGTGTATGCTCCGTTATACATTGTGTGTGTGGGTTTTGAATTTATAGTTTGGGTTATATTTTAAATGATGTGTTTTGGTCTTCTGTAATGGGTTTTGGCTTATGGTGTTTGGGTAGTTTTAATCTATTGTAAACTGTTTCAGAGAGCCTTTCTGCTGATGAACAGTATAAAAATACTCTAAATAAATAAATACTAGCAATTGATCAATTGATTGACATGGTCATACTACGATTGATGAGCACGGTTATGCTGAGGCTGATGGCAGTTAAGTGTAGTTGGTGCCATAATATAATTAACTCAGCCTAAGTCTAGAATGCAAGCTTGTTAATGAGCCTGGTAAGCAGATATTTGCTTATTATTTCAGGACATGATTCTATGGGTCAGTCCTTCATTCTTGCCAAGAGTCCTAAGACAGGCCTGCCTCGTCAATAACCAAAAAGCAAACTAAGCAGAAAATGAAAGACATTGAGGTCTATAGAGCTGAATAACTTTTTACTGTCCCATCTTCTCCTTAAACCAAGGTGTAAAGGCCAGCTGAGGCAGAGGCTTTTGTCCTTGTAACCATGGGTGGAGTTTTACTCAAGTCCTGAGGATCTAGAAATGTGCAGAAGTTTAGAATCAATCAGTGCACATGGAATGAATTGGAGAAACTGACAGTCGTGCACAGCCTGGCATATTGTATTTATGTTGCAGATCTGTTCCTGCAGAATTTGGAGTTTAGTTTTTCAAATTTGACTTTTTACTTGGGAGAGGAGATATGGAAGTTGTTAAAAAGGAGAGAGAGAACAAAGGCATCGGCATAGGATGGAGAAAAGACTGATAGTTTGATTTAAAATTTAGTCCAAAATCATACTTGGTGCTTGTTTCAATACTTGATTGTTCTGTTGGTATTTATTGTACTTGTGCATCTTTTTTAAAATTTGGGAGCCATTTGGGGAGGCTTTGCAGATGGAAGGGAGGCCTGAATATATATAAATAAAGATATATAATCCCTATACAAAACTTGCTTGAAAATAAGTCTTGTTAAACTCAATGGGACCACCTTCCAAATAAATATGTGTAGGATTAGGTTGCAAGACTCTGAACCTAATTTGACCCTCAAGCTCAGGGATATAGCAATGTTTCTGTGAAATACTAATAGCTTTTTTTTTGAAGCATCTGTGATTGTTATGTACAGTATATTTTTAAATATAACATTTTAATTAAAAAAATTTCAGTGTTAAATATGCTTGTTGTATGTTTGTTCTTTCTGGTGTTCCCTGTGACACATGAATCCTGCTTCAGCCACACACATTTCTTTATAAAATGTATTTCTTGACTACATTTATATAAGTTTGTCTAATAATATTACTGCTGTTTGCATGTAGGGACAAAGCACATTGTGTGAAGGGTTGTTGGGAGAGAATGAGCAAGCTGCCTGCAGCATGTCTGCCTCTTCTGCTTTTACTCAGCAATTCACTATTGGTTCCTGGTTAGCGTGACACTGGAAGCAGCCAAACAACCCAGCAGTTCATCCAAAACAATACAGGCTTTGATGCATTATGTGTGTAAGTTTTCTGGGCAGCTTACAAATGAAATCATCAAAGCAATTAAAAGTATCCTAAAAACTTTCAGTGGTAAAATTTCCAAGTGAGAATAAGCATAAATAACTAAATATATACAGCACACAAAATGTTAGAACACCTGTTGTGCATACAGCATCCCAGACTAAAATGGACTCCTATGAAGCATTCCAGCCCTCCTCAACACCCAGATCCTTTGTATAAGTCCCCGGGGAGTAGAAACATGTTTATATAGCTCTGTAAAGGAACATACATACCTAGGGGGATTTATTAATAATTACAGCATGAAGTCACATTCACACTTAACACAGACAAAACGGTTTGGAGCTCTTTAAAGACATGTCATGGCATAGCCGTTTGTTGAATAATTCACTTCACGAAATTGATGAAACGTCAATTTGGATGTGTTTGCAGTGTTAGAGTTTCAGGCAGTGTCTGTGTGCACACACAAAAACATGAAGTGAGAGGCATGGATAAGTCAGAGAGAAATAATGAAGTTTAAGCCAGTGGCAGGGTGCTATTCACAATGGCCATTCCTAAAACATAACTAATATATTCAGTGGGATAAACAGACCTTCTATTGTAGCCTTTCCTAACTTTGTGTCATCCATTTCTTTGGGAACTCCCATTAATGACACCCAGTGTAGCTAATGGTCAGGAACGCTAGGAATTGTAGTCCAAAAAATGCAGGGCACCAAGTCTGAGAAGTCTGCTGGAGTCAAAATCTTATTTTTAAAGTGTATTTATTTTAAAAATATGCATTTGTTTAGATGATGTCTATCCCACCCTTCTAGCAGTGCCTACAACTTTTCGAACCTGGTGTTCCCGAAATGGCTGACCTACAATTCCCATTGTGCTCAGCCGGCATTAGGAGGATGATGGGGATTGTAGTCCACTACCGTTGAATGTCAGCGGGTTGGGGAAGGCTGCTAGCGCCCCTTCCCAGAGGAACAGATCTTACAGCAATGGAGGGAAAAAACTGGCATCCGGTGGATGGTAGCAATACCAAGTGCGTCTTGGGAAAACACCCTACGCGCAGGTCTATCCTGCGCAAGGAACATCGCAGCCTGAAAATGCGAGGAAACTGACGGCCGGAGGACCGAGCGACCATAGATGTCAGCGAGAGCACGGCCGCTTCATAGGATCGCTTCCGGTTTCCGGTCACGGCTTCCCGTTGAGGAGGCGGGGCGCGCTCTCGCTTGGAGACGGCGCGAGACATCGCTGGCGGTGGCAGCATGGCAACGGCTGTGGTGAGCGATAGCCTCAATATTCGTTTCCGCTCGGAAAAAAGGTCCCCCCTTGCACCTCTGGACTCCGGTTTATCTGTTTTTCTGTGCTGTTTTCTGTGGAGGGGCAGCAACCTCCTTTCGCTTTCCTTAGTGAGATGCGTGGTCAACTTGTGGCCCTCCAGACGTCGTTGGACGGGAACTCACATCAGCCCCAGCCAGTATAGCCAGTGTTGAGCGATGATGGGAATTGGAAGGTCAACAACATTTGGAAGGCCATAAATTGCCTGCAATAGACAGATCTCTGTAATTCGTGCCTTTTATTTGATGATTTGTTTAATTCCACCATTCTTCAGGGTAGCATGCAGTGTTTTCTCCCCCTGCTCCCTGCTCCTTGTGCTCTCTCAATAACTCTGAGGAGGGTTAGAGTGAGACTTACTAGTCTGAGTTCACTTAATGAGTTTCATGACTGAATGGAGAATTTCAAGTTTGATGCTGCTTTTTATTCCTTGTTCTAAGTCTGCAATGGACAAAGGGTAGACTGAGATCTGCTCGTAGATCTCTGGCTGGTTTCAAGTAGATTAGTAAGGATTTCTGACTCTCTAGTTGCTTACAGTGATCTGGAAGTAGAAATGGGCAGTAGTGTGTCCAAGTTTGCTGATGACACCACATTATTTAGGGTACACAAAACAAAAAGGAATTGTGAGGAGCTGCAACATGATCTCTCCAGGTTGTGGTGATTGACCAAGGAAGAAACCCTGTGTTTGCAGTGAACAGGTCATTAAAAATGTGAATCCAGTTGGTGTCTGCTGTGAAAAAGGCAAGCTCCAGGAACTGAAAATAAAACGACCAAAATCACACTGCTCTTACACAAATCTATAGTAGAACCACACTTAAAATACAGTGTAGGCAGTGCATTTAAAATAGAAGATTGTAGAAATGGGAAAAGTGCAGAAAAGGTAATAATTAGTGATAAGCCTCACTAAATCTTTTCTTCTTCAGGCTACAAAGGTCCCTGAAGTTCGGGATGTCACCCGGATTGAACGCATTGGTGAGTGTCCATTGCCCCTCAAGCACGGTCTCTGTCTTTGCCCTATAGGACAGTTTATTGTCAAATTTTTCACTGCAGACCAGCTTTTCCCCAGTTGCCTTCCCGATGTGTTGGACTGCAGCTTCTGTCCTTCCAGATAGCATGATTTTTGGAGAACACCAAGTGGGAAAGTCTGTTCTAGATTATACTGCTTTCTTCATAGAAATAAAATGCCTAAAATCAGCATCTGGTCTAGGGACAATGCAGAGATAGATGAGTTAGTGGTTCATATTCCAGTCATGTACACATGTAGACTCATTATGTTCCTTTCAAATAGTGTTTCTTTCTCTCATGCACAGGTGCCCACTCCCACATCCGAGGTCTTGGCTTGGATGATACATTGGAACCCAGACAGGTACTTGGAGAAGGAAGTTGCGGGGAGGCTGTAGATGGCAAATTCTGACTCAGTGTGAGACAATGGAGTACTCAATGGTTACTATACATACAAACAGAATGGAGATTCAGAGATGTTTGGTGTGTATCTGTGTGTGTGGGGGGGACATATTTGGGCCTTCATGCAGAACATAAAGGTGATTCATTTTTACATAGACCCTCATTTGAGAAATTGTTTCTTGGCCCTCTTACTTCTAGCATCTGAGTGTTCCCCAGAAAGTTATCTGTCTTGCCTGTAGGCTATTATGGCTTCTTGTGTTTGAATGTTTACATTTTCCCTGTGTCCTCTCATTGGTTCTTTTTTGTTCAGCCAGCTGCAAATGAAAGTAAAGATTCACTAACATCCAAAAATGCACAACTATGACCTGAATCCCTCCATTTGTATGCAAGAGGCAGGTGTGAAAGACATTGAACTGTGGATGCAGTTAGCTAGAATGAAAATCATAGGAATAGCAATGTGGTCACTTCTAGGGGCAGTATGGACTAGGAAGGGAAATAAAGGGAAGTATTATTGAGTGGGAATGTGCAAGAAATGGGTAGGTCGGCATATATACAAGGAAGGATTATAAGTATCTGAGAGGTGTATTGTGGGAAAGAAGGTCATGTGGGCCTTTGGAGGGCTTACTATTTTTTTCACTTTTTACCCCCTTTTCTTCCTGCTAGGTGTCCCAGGGCATGGTAGGCCAACTGGCTGCTCGCCGTGCTGCTGGTGTGATCTTAGAAATGATCAAGGAGGGCAAGATTGCTGGCCGGGCTGTCCTGATTGCTGGTCAACCAGGCACAGGGAAAACCGCCATTGCCATGGGTAAGATACAAGTTCTAGAAAACAGAAGCAGTCTGCTTGCATTTTTAAAAAGTGTGGCTGTAAGAAGCTGGCCATCCCTTAATTTGGGGTTCCTTTTTAAACTGTAGTGTTGCAGTATCAATCGAGTGAGGACTTGGGCTTGTATCTCATGCTGAGTTTCATAATAACCAAGTTATCCTTTCCTTTTCCAGGAATGGCACAGGCACTGGGTCTTGACACACCTTTCACAGCCATTTCTGGTAGTGAGATCTTCTCCTTGGAGATGAGCAAGACTGAGGCCCTGACTCAGTCCTTCCGTCGCTCCATCGGCGTCCGTATCAAGTGAGGAGCAGTTTAGAGCCTTTTTGTTTTCTGAGGGGGCACTGAAGCAGTCTAGCAGCTTCTGCAGGAAGGGGTTGCTCTGGGGCCCAGCAGTTGAATCTGTGGCCTAGAGGGTTAAAACAGATGTGTGGGAACCAACAGCTAAGATTCTAAGAAACTTTGGAAGACTAGCAGAAAGTGGAAGTAGGACTTAAGCATGCTTGTTTGATTTTACTGTTTAGCTTTTATAATATTTTGTACATTGTCTTAAGCTGGCAAAATCATAAGTTAGGACTGAAAAATTTACAAATAAGCTAGGAAGCTGGTGACTTTCTGGATGGACTGGAAGCCAATGGGAGAAGCAGGAGGATTCCTCAATTGAGTTTGAAGTTCCAGCTCATGTGGGAGGGGAGTCTAATAGGAGTGAGGCGTTCTGTGGTCCACTGTGTTGTCTGCTGTGACATTTCATTGTCCCCTTAATACTTGCAGGGAGGAGACAGAAATAATTGAAGGTGAAGTGGTGGAGATCCAAATCGATCGCCCGGCGACTGGCACTGTGAGTTGAGATTGGAGCATAACGTGAGGCGGGCTCTGTCCGTTTGCCTAGTAGTGATGAGTCTCTGTGTAGCAGCCTGTTTGTTGAGGCAGATGTTGATTGTCCCCTTCACATTGCAGGGTGCTAAGGTGGGGAAGCTGACCTTGAAGACTACTGAGATGGAGACAATCTATGACTTGGGCACCAAGATGATAGAATCACTGACCAAGGAGAAAGTGCAGGCTGGGTGAGTTTGAGTAGGGTGGGGTGGAAAGCAG